ATATCTTCATAAAATAAATATGAGATTAGTTTAGAATAATATCATACAAACCTTTATTGATGATAGAAATTAAGAGTACATGACTAGACGTTTTAAAATACAGTACATAAACAGAAAATATATTAAAACATAGTGTATATTACATTAGCAGATAGATTTTTAAGCATTGTTATTTTCTCTGAAGATGAAATCATTTCCAATTTCAGCATTGTCCATTAAAAAATCTGACACATCAAGGGTAGGGCAAGGAGCATTTTCTTCATTAACATAATTTGCTTCTGGATTTTTCTCTTTGCCTTTTACAGAAGCTTGGTAAAGGTCTACTAAATGTTTGGCCGTACGACAAGTACGTCCCCAATGCCCTGTCATGCCACATCTGTAACATGTGTCTTTTCCTTTTGAAGGAGTTTGTTTGTGGCTTCCAGATGACTGTCCCTTCTGCTTTTCAAAATTTTTGAAATTACTGTTTCTTTGAAAATTATTTCTACCACGTCCTCGGCCTCGTCCGCGATAATTTCCACGGCCTCTTCCACGGCCATTGTAATTTCCACGTCCACCTCTTCGTGTAGCATTTGCCTCGGGTGGATAAGAACTTGTTGCATTTGCCTCATGATGAGTGGCCAAAGACCCAGTTGGTCTAAGATTATGATTTTTCAACAAAAGATCACTATTTTGTTCCGCAACAAGCAATACACTCATTAATTCATTAAACTTTTTAAAACCTCTTTCGCGATATTGTTCTTGCAACAGTATGTTGCTTGCATGAAAGGTAGTGAGTGTTTTTTCAATCATCTGTTCATCGGTGACTGGATGATCACAGTATCTCAATATAGATACTATCTCATGCATGGTTGAATTGTAATCAATTACGGATTTAAAATCCTGGAATCGTAAATTTGTCCAGTCAAATAATGCCTTAGGAAGGAGCACCCTTTTGTGGTGTCCAAATCTTTCATTAAGACAATCCCATAATTCTTTGGGATCTTCAACCATCATGTACTCAGTTTTAAGGCCTTCATGTAAATGATGCCTTAGTAACACTAAGGCTTTTGCCTTTTCTTGTTCAATAACAGGTTTTTCAACCGTTATGGTAGAAGTGGTAGTATCAGTTGTTTGACCAGAGGGACTTTTATTATCTTTAACAGTGTACTCCAACCCTTGAGCTTTTAAATTCATCATGGCATCCACTTTCCATTCCAAAAATTTCTTTCCAGATAAATCTAGGATGCTGAATTGTCTTTTCATAAGATCTCCCATTTTAACTACAACAACTCATGTGATGATTAGTTTATAATAATAAATCATACGTTCAACACATATGTTTAATTCTTCCATATTTATTGTTTGTTAATGAAACACGTGATAATTAAATTTATTTAACAATAATAAACCATAAATAATATAATTCTTTTCTCCCTCTTGGTTTATTATTGTGAGTAATTATATAATTAGGCAAAAATAAATCATAGTAGTCGCATAAATGGCAAAATGACAACAACAACAACAACAACAAAACAACAACAACAGTAGTAATTATAATTATAATAATAATGGTAATATAATACAATGATGATTAACAACAAAACAACATAATAAAACAAAAAAACATGCTTTTAATCTACTAAACCGACAAAATAAACAAACTTCACTTGTACATCATGACAAAAATTAATATTGCTACTAACATAACTACAAGCGCCATAATTAAAAGAAGATATTATTTTATCTTCCTTAAATCTTCCTCAAAGGTGAAGGTGTGGGTGTTTTGGTTGCCGTCGGGGAACATATTGGAGAGGAAGGGGTGAAAAAAAATTTTGGGTGATTTTTGGATAAAGAAAAAAAATGGGAGAAGATAAGGGGTTTGTGGTGAAAATCGGGGGAAAATCTACCTTTTATAGAGGTAGGTTTATCCGTTACTGTTTTGTACAATTGTAAAAATATCATATAATAGTTTAATGTACTGGCAAAATTATGATCCAAATATAAATATTTATATTTGTAAAAGGTTATCACACTGGGAATGCAAGCCATAGTGGTCCGAGAGCCCTAATATCTACAAAAGATCATGGGTTCAAAAACTGAAAGAAACACAAAAAAGTATGTAAAAGAAAGAAAAATAATAAAAAAAAAGGCTGCATCTTTTTTTTTTTTTTTGTCAATTTAGGTAATAATATGTATGCAAAGTTATTACTAAGCAATTATAATAACTAAAATTAAATTTTACATAAAAGGTGAGTATGTAATAACAACATGTATGAAAAAAAACAAGATATCAACATAAATAAAACAAGTGAGGATAGTAATGAAATTCATAAGCAAGAGTATTTTTTTTCACCGATGTTTTGCCTCCTTATTTTTTTTTTTTTGATATATAATATAGTAAATGTTTGAGTTTCTGGTATAGAGGATCCCAAAATATGGGCAACTATAGAGCATACTCCTCAAAACATTTAGAAATAGATAGTATTTATTTGTTATAATTTTGAGAAGTAGGTATAAATATACCTGACTAGGAATTGGTGCTGATAACGTGTTAAAAGATTATTTTCTAATTATAGGATGATATTGTATGTTTATGATGATGGAGATAGAAGAGATCAAAAGAACAAAAGGAAGAGTCGGTGTTATTTTCTTCTTCTTACTACATCCATAGTTCACAAGATGGTGAACTTATTTATAGGCAAATATTGCCATTAAAATATTATACATGATTGTACTTTTAGACAAAGTATTATCCATAATAAATGCATGTGGTGAGCTACAAGTTACCATGCTACAATTATGTGAACTTCATTTTGGCATTTTCTCAACACGAATATATTTGAGTAATTTGACAATTATCCCTCTTTTCCTTTTAACATGAACCACATATCAGTCACCGGTTCACCACTACTCCCTCCTCAGTCCTCACCACCTTCTTTCTTGCATATCACAATAGTTAATGGTTTAAAAAATCACTCATTTCTTGTATACATTTTTTGGTATCAATCAGAAAAATGGGAGTTTGCCATTTATCCCCTGATTGTATCTTACCATGGAAATTGCTTCAAAATTCTACCAAACAAACTCACTCATATAACAAACTAATACCCACTTCACCGTTAACAAAGATGATTAATCAACACAATCAAACTAAACTCTTGAGCATCAATCATTCTTCATTTTCTTCTTCTTCTTCCCAGATAATTACAACTAATTCTGGGTATTATTCAAATTCTACTGATTTTGATTCTATTTTGTTATTTTGTGCTGAAAATGGTTTTGTTGAAGAAGCTCAGATGTTATGGGATGAAACCCTAAACAGTTCTTTTACTCCTAGTTTTCATTTAGTTTCATCTATTATTACTGCTTATGCAAAAACTGGCCATTTTGATCTTATTTCTGAGATTTTGACTCAAATTAGGAATAGAAGCTTTAGCTGGTTGCCACAGGTTTATGCTCTTGCAATAAAATGTTTCGGGGCCGGGGGGCGGCTTGATTGTATGGAACAGACATTGAATGATATGGTTTCAATGGGTTTTCGAGTCGATTCTGTAACTGGAAATGCATATGTAGTTTATTACAGTATGTTTGGTTCTTTGGCAGAAATGGAATTTGCATATGGTAGGTTTAAGAAGTCTAGAATTCTCCTAGAAGAAGAAGGAATTCGCAGTGTTTCTATGGCGTATATTAAGGGAAATAAGTTTTATTTTTTAGGGGAGTTCTTGAGGGATGTGGGTTTAGGTAGGAGGAATGTGGGAAATCTGTTGTGGAACCTTTTGTTGCTTTCTTATGCTGCTAGATTTAAGATGAAGAGTTTGCAAAGGGAATTTTTGGCAATGTTAGAAGCAGGATTTCGGCCTGATCTTACGACGTTTAACATTAGGGCCTTGGCCTTTTCCAAGATGAATTTGTTTTGGGATCTTCATCTAAGTCTTGATCATATGAGGCATGAAAATGTTATTCCTGATCTTGTGACTTATGGTTGTTTGGTTGATGCTTATATGGATAAACGGATGGGAAGGAACTTGGATTTCGCTTTGAAGAAGATGATCAACTTAGATGAGGTTCCATCTGTTGCAACCGAATCCTTTGTGTTCGAGGCGATGGGAAAGGGTGAATTTCATATGAACTCAGAAGCCTTTATGGAGTTCAATAGGGATAAAAGATGGACTTACAGGAAGCTTATTGGAGTACATCTGAAGAAACAACATCGGAGTAACCAAATCTTCTGGAATTACTGATTGCACATGTAATTTCTGTTACCAAAAATCAACTAGTATTATCATCTTTCGTTTGGGTACTATAACTTGCATAGTTGTATGTGTACTGTTAGTGTATAAAACTTAACTTACCAAATCAACAACTATAATCTCTATTACATTTATACTGATTTACACCAAATCTTTTGGAATTACTGATTGTATATATAACTATTTTTTAACAATTCAACTAGTATTATCATCTTTATCATCTTTCAATCAGTAAGTTCAGCTGGTATATAGTTGTATGTAATGAACCAGTATTATCATATTTCATTTGGTAACTTCAGCTTGGTTGTATGTATTCAACCAGTATTATCATCATCTTTCGTCCGGTAACTTCAGCTTCTATAACTAGTATTATCATCTTTATCATCTTTCAATCAGTAAGTTCAGCTGGTATATAGTTGTATGTAATGAACCAGTATTATCATATTTCATTTGGTAACTTCAGCTTGGTTGTATGTATTCAACCAGTATTATCATCATCTTTCGTCCGGTAACTTCAGCTTCTATAGCTGTATGAATGAGCTTGGTTGTGTATAAACTTTCTCTTACCAAATCAACAAGTACTTATAATGGGTCTTGACATAACATGTATACTGTTTTATAAACCCTATATATACGAGGGAGATTTGGAACAATGTGACGACTAATTCTAGATTACTAGTATCATTGGTGAAAATAAACACAAAGCAGAATAACACAAGACAGAGAAGATAATGCAGAATATCAGTTTCATTAAACAAATCTGCTGTGCAAAATAACATTTCAGAAAGTTTTCCATAGTCAATCATAATATATAATACAGAATGATTAATTCATATCAATCCACATTGTTTGTTTTCCAACTCTAATCACCAAAATCCTAGAAAAAGTTTCATAACCAAACCCAAAATCATCCAGAAAGTTAGTCACTTTCTCAGAAACTTGTAAAAAACTAAACAATCCATTGAAATTCTCAATCATTCTTCATCCAGAAAACGGACATGCTTTCCCTTTGGAGTCGGCAATCCCTTCAAACGCGGCGCTTCAGTAGAATCAAACTCTTCAAATTCCTCAACCAGTTCATCATCACTGTTATACACAAACCTTTTGTGTTTTCCCATGAATTTTGGCCCCCTTTTCTCTCCTTCCATGTTCATATTGCTTATCCCATCACACAATTCATCAAGAAAAGGCACATCATTCTCTGCTTCTCCTTCTTCCTCATTATAATACTCATTATTCTCAGCAACTTCATCAACATCTTGATTCACTTCATCCTCGTCTTCGTCGCCTCGAGTACTTGCATTCACTTGGATAGACCAGACTGAAGCAGCATCATCATCAAATGAATCCAGTTTCTCATGGCTTGCTTCACTCTTTACTTGGTAAGTTACCACTGATGAACAGTCTGACGAGCAGTCTGATTTATCAGAAAATTCCAGAAACAATGCCCTTGATATCATCACATCTTTCTCAGAGTCTGTTACATTCTCTTCCTGCTTCTTCTCATCAATTATCCCGCTCACTACCTAAATAATATACAAATTCACATTAAAGACCCAGAAAAGACCAGATTTTTTATTTTTTGCAAACCCATTAAAACAAACAAACCTAAATGAACTAATCAGCATCGGAAATAAATAAATAAAATAAAATAAAAAAATCTAAGTGATTCCCATCAAAATTTGACAAGAACCCAGATACAAAAAGGAAAATTCAAAATTACAAACCCCAATACAAGAAATAACAATAGAATCTGATATAAATTGAAATTAATAAGAAAAACGTATTCAAATCCACATTAAAACCCCAGAAAAATTCAATAATTTTTTTTTTTTTGCAAACCCAAACAAACCTATCTGAATGAATTGATCAATGTCAGAACCAAATAATCAAGTAAACCCCATCAAAATTTGGCAAGAACCCAATGAAAAATAATCAATGTAACATTTAAACAGATTTTTTTTTCAATATTACAATCTCCAAAACAAGAATTAACAAAATATTTTACAAAAAATTGACAATAAGAACAAGAAAATGATAATACCAGAGGCAATTTGAGTTGATCTTCAATTGGGGGTTCAGAAACAGAACTCAACAAATCAACTTCCTCAAAAGCAGAGAAATTCAGAACTTGTGGAGTATTCACCGGAGTCGGAGCAACAAGTCCGGCCGGAGAATTAAAGATAGCTTTAAACCCAGCATTGCGAACCGGACCGCAGTTTTCAAGATAGAACTTAGAAATCTCAGCTTCTTCTTCAACCTTTTGCAACAGATTCTTGACTTGACCTCTGAGCAGAGCTTCCCCTGAACCAGGTGTTTTCTTGCAAGCATTGCTCCTCCTCTGTTTTGAGAAAGATGAAATTGGGGTCCCATTTAAGCTTCCACTTGCTAATCCAACAATTGGGGAATCATTTGTTATATCAATCAAAACAGATCGATCTTGATTCTTAGTTCTCTGCCTTGATTTTGAGAGCCCTTTTTCAGAGTCTTCTATCTTCTCTGAAATTGTTTGAGATTTCATAAAATCAGTCAAATTGAAATGAATTTATCAAAAATTAGAGAAACCCAGAAGATAAATTCAGTCATTTAAACGAAAATTAATTGAATTTGTAAAAATAATCAAGATTGAAAGGGGGTTAATCGCATTAAAAAAAAAAAAGAACCCAGAATTAATTAAACCCAGAAAAATTAAACAGAAATTACTTGATGTTTTGTTGTTGTTGTTGTTGCTGTTTGAACTATTGGCTAAAGCGATAGCTTGAGACCTTGTGATTCTCCTGTTTGATGATGAAGGGGTCTCCATTGAATTCGAGAATTAGGGTTTTGCAGAAAGTTGAGATTATTGATCGAATTTCAATCGGATTAAAGAGAGAGAAGAGCGTACAAAATTGCGAGAAGATGAAGACAAATGAAGAAGAGCCAAAATGGTTGGGATTTTAAAGTGGGGAATTTGACCGTTGGTGTGATAATCTGTAATTAGGATAGAACTAGCCGTTAGGGTTTATGATGATATCATACCTTAAATGATTTTTATTATTGATTGTAATATTGGAGTTCATTGGTTGTTGTTGGGCTCCTGCTTGAAAAAACTATGTTTAGTGGCCCAGGTGGAAAGTGGGCCTATTATTGGATCTCTTTTTTTTTTCTAATAAATCAAAACTTTAATTTTAAAACAGGAAGTTGAAAGGACACTTGTTCTCTTCTTATTTTTTCTATTTTAAAATAATTTTTTTAATTACAAAAAAAAAAAAAAAAAAAAACATACATCTCTTCCATCCCAATTCCCAAATCATGACTATTCAAGAAAATAGTTTTTTTCATCCAAAAAAATTTATTAAAATAGAAATGCAATCAAACAATTCTTCTACATCACTTCCATACCAGTCCCCTAATCATGCCTATATATATATTCAATAAAACATCTCTTCCATCCAAATTTACAAATTTATTAATCATGTATTTTCGAAAAACATTTGTAGGATTATTATTAGATTTTTATTGTATCTTAAAACAAAAAAAAATAGCAAAATCAATCCTTTACCAACAAAAAAAAAACACGCCTTTATAAATCAACCCATTCTTATCTATACTACTATTTCACAACAAGATAATTTAAAGGAAATATAGAGTGTTTACGTGTCCTTTTTTATTTTTCATGTTTTTTTTTCTTTCTTTTTTTTTAAAAATTTTTGTTAAAAAAATGATAAACACCAAAAAAAAAAAAAAAAAAAAAAAAAAATCTTTGATGCTTATCTTTCTATTTGTTCGGTTTATTCCCTAAACAATGAAACAACGCTTCATTCACTTCTCAATTTTCAATTAATTTATACATCAAGGGGCGGCATTAGTTTTTTATTTAATTTTTTTCATGAAGTGTTGCATTAGTTTTTTATTTTATATTTTTTAATCAAATTCCCATTTTCGTTAACCATTCAAATCAAAGTGCACTTTACTTTCTTCCCTAATTAAATTTCACTTATGAATGTAATCACGTTCCTTCTTTCTACCCCAAATCATTTTTATTCATCCCCAATTTTTAATAACTAAAGCACTAATTCATTACTCTAATATTAATTACTTTCTTTTTTTACAAACAAAATTAGCAAAAAAAGTACAATGCAATTCATTATTTTGTATATATTTTTAACTTATTTTCAATTTGCTTATTCATTCTAGGTTAAGTCAACTTGTGAAATTTTTGGTTTGAATTGATATTTTTGTTGAAATATCTTTGCAGCCATCAAGGTATGTTTCTTTGATTCGTTTTTGGAATAATTTATCAAAATTATAATCATGTGTCAAAAGCAATATTAAATTGTATGTATGATCATTCTACTATTTTTTTTTATATTGTATAGTTTGCATCTTTCCATTCCTCTCAATCTATGTATATATACTCTTAGTCGATTTTTATTGCACTAATTTTTGGGCATTCTACCAGTAGATTTCATTGAACGAAGTAGATCTTTGTTTTTTCCTCATTTTGCATCTCAGTTACATAGTTTAATTAGTCGCTAATTAAACCTTAATATAAGATCTTCTAAAATTTTAATTTTCATGTTTTGCTTTATGTAATTGGCATATAAAATTATTTAATTGACAGATATTTTGAAAAATACAAATGGTAGTTGGCATGCTTTCAATGTTGTTCAAGAGTTGCAATCCAATTTTTTGCTAGGAAAATTCGTATTTAAAGAATTATATTTCATACATATGGTCGTTATTAAATTTTTTTCCCCCTATTTTCACTTTTAAAGGCGCGACATACATAACTTGATCAATCCTCCCATTAAAAATTTACGATTAAATATAATCCGTGCATCACACGGGCTGAATACTAGTTTTGTTTAATTACCCAACTTGCCACCTACACATTTGATACATTGAAAATGTAGCAAAATTAAAGCTTAGTTTGGTGCCTGCTATAAGCCTATAAACTTAGTTCATAATACTTTATTGGTGAACCAAGTAGTGAATGACCACCCGAGATGCTAAGGGGTCTATGGAACATCTCAACTCTTTTATTTCCGATTTGAAAAAGTCTAAAATTGTCCAAAAGGTGAAAGCTAATTCATGCTTTTGAACAAATTTTGAAGGTTTCGAGACTCGGTGTCGAAAAACCTCGGGATCATAGGGAATGCATCCCGGGGATAAACAATGTTGTTGATATCATATATGACCACTTGTCAGACATATAAAGGTTCATGGTAACCTTGAGCTAATCAAGGAAAGCGTGCATGAAAATGACTAAATTGACTGGTTATTGGCAAAGTGGATGATTCTAACCACCTAAATGGCTCACGGGGTGTTGTGGGATCATGAAAGAACCCCAACTACATTTATTTTCAGGTTCGAAAAATTCAAAAATAATCCAAAGCTGAAAGCTATAATACACGATATAGGACCAATTTTAAAGGTTTCGGGACCCGGTGTCGAAAATCTCTGAATTGGAAGATATGCATATCTGGGTCATATATTATTGTTGGGAACTATAACTGACCACTACTCGGTCATATAAGTTCTAAATGGGTAATTTGACTATTTTAAGGCAAAGTGGACAAGTTTCATCCATCCAAATGGACTCTCGGAGTGTTTTAAGGTTTATGAGAAGCACAAGACTTTTCTCATTATGTTTCAAATTTAATGTTTCGGTTCGAATTGACACATTTATCAATGCAAAACTCTATTCGAATAGTAATTATCAAAATATAAATAATAAATAAATAAAATAAAAAGATATTTCAAAAACCATGTTGAAATGAATTCAAGAAATACTCGCATGACTATATTTAATGTTATGATTTCGCATATGAATTATAAGTATTGATTAAAGTGGTTTATGTGAATAGTGCTAAAGTCAATTAAAAACAATTATTTTGAAACGAAAGGACTATAAGTTAAATATTAGCTATTCGGCCTTAAATTTGGCTAAAGTCCATTAAACTATAATATTTCAAGGAGGCATGACCTCGGGAGCATACAACGCCACAAATGGTACTCCATATAATTTTATTTTTTTTGATATAATTATTAGTGAATTGATGTATTTATTGACGATCCTTGGTATCACAACAAATCAGTTATTGTAGTAATTTTAACCGCAAGATCGCATCTCTAAATTAGAAATCTTGTCAATTTGACATCAAGAGGATAGATATGACCGATCCGTCCACAATAAATAATGAAAACACAACTCCTAACCAAACAAATCAAAGTGAAGAAGAAGTTGATCAACTTAAACAAAGTCCTTTGCTTTCCCACAATCCATATGAACTTGTATATGATTTAGTAACCGGTGTCTATGGTAGTATTAGTACAAAGCTACCACGCCCCCATCGACTTAACCAACTCCCCTCACCGTGAATTCTCCATTCTCACATGCCTTACGCGTCCCTTCCTGAATCTTTAAAGGCTTCTACTTGTAAGATCTTGTATATAAGCAGAAACCCCTTAGACACCCTTGTGTCACATTGGCATTTTTATCCGAATATACTAAAGAGAGTAACCAAAGATGAAAATTTCCAACCCCATAATATTGAAGATTATTTTGAGGACTTTTGCCAAGGTAATGTTTTAGATGGGCCGTTTTTTGATCATGTACTTGGATATTGGAAGCAGAGTTTAGAACATCCTAACAAGGTGTTGTTTTTGAAATACGAGGATTTGAAGGAGAATCCTAGTTTTTATTTGAAGAAGTTGGCTGAATTTATTGGTATGCCATTTTCTCACCAAGAAGAAAGCAAAGGTGTAATCAAAGATATAACAGAGTTGTGTAGTATTAACAATCTTAAAGAACTCGAGGTTAACAAGAGTGGTTCACTTGACAACTTTATGGAGAACAAGATGTTGTTTAGGGACGGGGCAGTTGGAGGGTGGACTCGTTATCTCTCCGATTCCGTGGCGGGAAGAAGGAAGAAATTGATATAACAAAAACTTGAAGGTGGACTCATTATCTCTCCGATTCCATGGCGGGAAGAATGAAGAAATTGATAGAACAAAAACTTGAAGGTTTTGGATTGTCCTTTAAATTGCATCCTTGATAAATCAATACTATATATATACGTACTATATGTGTAACACTATGATGTTTAATTTGGTGTGATTTATTTTATTTTGAATTACGTTGGTTTTGAATCTTTTTATCTAGCGTACGTATTTTGTTATTATGTGTAACATTTGCTTTAATTATACCACTTCTAATCTACTACATTGTGTTAACCAAATAAGTTTGGTGGAAATGGTGAGAAATTCAATCGATCATGTTGTAACTTTGAGGTATAAGTTTGAGTCTCACCATCTACATATGCAAAAGGGCAGTGTCATTTCCTTACAAATCATCAACTTTTCATAGTATTAACATAGTTAAAGAATTCAAGAAGATGTTGAGACCACAAAATCTAGTCAAATTTGACTACCCTTGGCGCTTAACCTATCAAATTATTCCTACTAGCTAGCTAAGGCCTAGGTAGTCCTCTAATCATAGCAGTCAAGATTAATCAAGTAAGTTTGGATACATAATCAAGGTACGTTGATCAATTTATGTGAAATTTTAAATTTTAATGGTATATAATATCATATACTGGAGTCTTAATGTTACTATCAGATACCACATTAGTATAACACAAACTATTGGGTGCGGCTATTTGTACGTCGTTCCTAATAACTACCCCAAACTTCTTATCTTCCTCAATGTCCTGCGTTTCATTCATACACCATTTTCTTCTCTTTTTCCACTAACACCTCACATGCCAGAAAAATTGATATACCAATGATCGCTCCCATCGGCGGCGTTGTAATTGTCGGTGGTATCGTCGACAGCGAGAAACTTGTCGGGATCAAAGATGTCATCCATGGCGGAAGAGAGAAAGTTTAAGAGAATTGAAGAGGATGAAGAGGAGAGAGAAAATAAAGATTGTTGATTATATTTGTCCATGATTTATGCTTGAATTGGCTTGATAATTGCTTGAGATTCTCGATTTTTCCGAAATATGCCCAAAAAAGATTGAATTGGGGCTTTCTTGTGATGCATAATTGTTGAAATATGTTGAATCGTACTGTGAGTGTTTTGATAACAAATGTATGTATTTTGGTTGAGAAATGAGCAAGTTATGTTATAACCATGAGCTTAGTACGGGACCTTCAATGGAGGTTCCGCCATTGTTGACCTTTTAATTATTTTTATGTATATCAGCCAACAAAGGGAACAATCAACCAACCAATGAAACATATCAGCCAATAAAAGATAGATATCAGCCAACATATTAAACATATCAGCCAATAAAAGATAGATATCAGCCAACATACTACCTCCGTTAAATGTTATCTGCAACAAAATGAGAGTTTGCGGAAGCAAATGCAAAATTTAAGGGGCAAAGATTAAAGAAAGTTAAGGAACTTGTGTTATGTAATTAAGGTGGAGAGAGAATGTTTGGATAATTAATCAACCACCCACTGCCACCACCAAGACCAGCCAACACCACCTACACCGCCTTCACCAACACCACCGCCGCCTTCACCACCACCACTACCACCCCCACGAAACCACCACCACTACCAACCCCACGAAACCATTACCACCCACACGAAACCACCACCACCCTCACGAAAACCACCACCATCCCCACGAAATCACCACTGTAACACCCACAAAAACCCAGGCCACCACCTCCAAACAAACAACCCCTCATTCGTCTTCCCCTCCCTAACCTAAAAACCCTAGAAAAGAAATCCCAAACCAAGAATTCCAGAAATTGTCACCCAAAACACCTAAAACCCACGCCCTAGAACCCTAAACCAGAAATCGTCACCATCATCACCTTCAATAAAACCCAAAACCCACGCCTTAAAACCCTAACCCAGAAATCCGACCATCATCATCACCTTCAATCGAAATCAAAACCCAGAAAATCAAAACTCAGAAAATCGAAATCAGAACCCAGAAAATCGAAATCAAAACCTTGAAAATCAAAACCCAGAAAATTGAAATCAAAATCCAGAAAATCAAAACTCAGAAAATCGAAATCAAAACCCAAAAAATCGAAATCAAAACTCAGAAAATCGAACAAAACCCAGAATATTCAAACAAGACCCAAAATAATCGCACATCATTTTCAACTGAAACTTGTGAGGGAGGAAAGATGAAGAGGATCGTTCGTTGGTGGTGGGAGCTAAGGGTTGTGGTCATAGGGAGGAGAAAGAAGGTGGTGGGATGGAAGGTGGTCGTGAAGGAGGAGAGAGAATGGTGGTGGGAGGGGCGGTGGTTATGACTCGTGAGGGAGGAGGGATGAAGAGGTTGAAAGAGATGAAGAGGGTGAAAGGTTGAAAGAGAGGTTGAAGAAAGAGATGAATGGGTGGTGGCCTGGTGGGTAGACTAGGAGATGAGTAAATGGGGTTGGTTGAATTAGGTTAATGATTTTAGATTATATTAAAAAGGTTATTGTGATTAAAATAAGATAAGGGTAAAATTAAGAAAATTAAAATTTTTAAGTAAGGGCAAATATGTAAATTCCAGGGTTTTTGTTTACTAAAAATAGAAAGAAAAGAGAGAGTTGCACATAACCTTGATCATCCCGTTTTGGCAAAAGTTGCAGATAACATTTAACGAAGGTAGTATTAAACATATCAGCCAACAAATGAAGCATATCAGCCAACAAAAGGATGAAATCAGCAAACAAAAGCAACAGGTAAGCCAACAAAATAAACATATTAGCCAACTGTACATATCCTCTATCAAATAATACATATCCTCTAATAAACTATAGATATCCTCTATCAAATAACACATATCCTCCACCAAATACTACTCATATCCTCTAACAAACTGTACGTATCCTCTATCAAAGATAAATTGTACATATCCTCTATCAAATACTACATATCCTCTAATAAATTGTACATGTATATATCCTCCACCAAATACTACATCATATCCTCTAACAAACTGTACGTATCCTCTATCAAAGATAAATTGTACATATCCTCTATCAAATATTACATATCCTCTAACAAACTGTACGTATCCTCCAACAAATAATATGTATCCTCTATCAAATAACCCATATCCTCCAACAAGTTGTACATATCCTCTATCAAATAATACATATCCTCCAACTACATATCATATATAATTGCCACACGAATTCTTTGGTGCGGCTTGCCACACCCAATACCTTCTCTTAGTATAATTATTGAAATTCACTAGTCAATAAAACTCTATTTGTACTACTTAAAAAACATTATGACATATTTATACCATTAAAAAGGTTATAAGACCATTACACTATCTAATGATACTATTTTTTCATTTAATGGTATCTTTTTGTATTTTTTTTTACAACATTTAATGGTATCTTTATTGTCTCATAAAAAGTTGATATTATTTGCAAAAATTGTCATAATATTTGTTTTTTTGGTTCAATTCACACAAGTATGTACCAATACTTGGTGAGATAAATTTGTTGTACCAATACTTGGCGAGATAAATTTTCCACTACTCTTATTTCGAGTAATTAAATATCCTTTTCCCAAGGATCTCTTTCAAGACTCCAATTTCAATTAGTAACTAGATTTTTTTCACAATTTTTTATATGTGGCTGGTCACACCGTATGGCCGGGGTTACTCGTTTGGTTAGGGGTTATATGTAGGGGGTTACTCGTTTGGTTAAGGTTTACTTGTAGGGGTTACTTATTCAGGGATTATTCGTTTGGTCAGGGATAAATTATAGGGTTTACACGGTATAGCCAGCCACACAGAAAACACTAGTGGAAAAACATAAGTGAGCACCGACGAATAAGCACCGATTATCCAAAACCGATGCATGCCAAAAACGCAAGTATAGATCCAAAAAAAAAAAAAAAAAAAAAAAAAAGAGGCTTAAAAGGTTACAAAGGGCACCGGTAAACCGATGCCCTTACTATGTTATTACTTCCGTATTTTTTTCTTATTACTCCTTCCTAACATACAGTAGCATCCCCCCCTCTCTCCCCCCTCACAGCTAGCATTCCTCTCGCCTCCTTTTTCTTGACTCCACCGCTGGCCCACACTCTATCTCATTCTTCTATCTCCTTATTCCCTTCTTTCTTTCTTTCACTCTCTCTCCTCACAGCACTGAGGATGGCTGCCTTGACGAGTCACCATAATGAGCATCAACGATTGTGATTCGTTTTTTAATGATGATCGAAGCTCCATTGTTGAAGAAGGGCAACCACGAAAGAATTTAGGGAAGCCGACACTCCTCCTGGGTTCGCCTCTGCCTCTCTCCTCTTAGGGTTTTAAGTTACATATAGATCTTGAATTTGTCTTCTATTAAATTTACTCCTCACCCAACATTTAGATTCCCATGATTTATTTGCTTTTTTTCCCCTGTAATTTAGGATTTGCTTGATTTAATTTATGGCAGCCGAGTTTGATCATTTCACTGATATTGTTTTTTTTTTTTTTTTATATATAATTGCATTTAAGATTTTGGAATTATATGATTTCTGAATTGGATTTTGGGCTAAAAATGATATGTTTGTGTATAAAAATTATTCAATGAGTGAATTAGCTCCCCTAATATTTATTTTGCTGAGTTTTTGCTTTTAATAGTTCAATTTCTTCCCAATTTCAATTAATTTTGGTTGTGTTAGCTTTAATAACATATTTTTAATATTTTCTTCTAGGGATGAAATTGGTTGTTGTATTGTAACTGAATCAGTAATGTGTTATTCGATGATTGTATTAGTTTGTGACCGAAATCTGAGTTTCATTTGATATTTCTAGCTTTAATAACAAGGAAGAGACTATATTGAAAATTTGCTCACTTGATCACCTAGTGAATGTGTCAACTCCTGTAGGGCATCTTTGGAAGGCCAAGATAGGTAGTCTATATTCATCCAGTGTCTCATGTGAGTTTGTTACTTACTTCTTTAATTTCTGTTGGGGCTCACCAATCACTTTCTTTGGTTTTTACATGTTTGTTGTTGCTACTTGCTAAATTGGTCACCATTTGCTTTGAAGGACTTGATTCAGACTTCTAGAACTCTCTCATCACAAGCTCCACATACTAAACCTCAGCTCAGAAGTTTCCCTACTATGAGTCTATATGCCCAATCCTCATATCACAAGGTATGATGCACAGATATGGTCGTTTCTAATTTTTATTTACTTTTTTTTTGTGATTATTTGCTCTTCGATTTGATAAATAATGATTGTCATTCTAGTAGAGGAACATGTCCTTTATAATGATATGAATAAGTTTATGCTCTATGAATAGCTGAATTTGGCTGCATGAAACTCTTCATTTTGTTGGGTGTTGAATGTATGGTGTTGTACTGTGTCTCGTGGTGCCTTAGTGTGTGTTGGGTGCTGCATGTTGCTTATTTTGCTGCGTTTTATTGTGGGTAAAGTGTTCCTGCTACTGCTTATGTTTCTTCTTTGTGTGGTGCGTGGCCTGCTGCTTAGCTTGTGTGTGGGATGTAAAATTGCTATTTGATGCTGCCACTTTGTTGTTGCTGGTGTGAATTTTTGTAGTCCGTGATATTATGCTTTTCTTAACATGAACATATTAAAAAAAAAATATCTTGTTATTAGTGAGTAATTGTAGAATTTACACTTAGCAGCTTATGTAATTATTGATTTTAGTTTAAGTTGTAAATTTGTCATTGCTTTTGCCTTGTCGTAGGTTTTCTGTTTGATTGGAGTTGTGAGAATGTATGATTTGTTCATGTTGTGATGATTTGTTTAATTTTTAGCCAATTATGTGGTAATTGATTCAAGTGTAGCATTAGCATTATCGTTTATTTGACGATATTTATAACATAGGGAAGCATTTGTTGATAAAAACATTCTGTTTGTATTTTATTTGTTGATCTTGTTAACATTCTGTTTTACTAATGTCATTTAAAGTCCCAAGCTTTAATTAAGTGGCTTTGATTGCCGTTGTTTGTAATTTACTTAAAAAGTATAAGGTGTAGATTTGGTGGATTCTGTAAGAGAAGGTTCTTTATAGTGTAAAATCAGTTTTTTTTTTTTTGGACGCAAATTAGCATCAATAGTTCTTTGATTTGATTTCTGATTGGTATGACTGACACATAATATTTTCATTTCATGTGTCAAAGTGTCTGCTTCCATGATACATCTAATTTTTTACGAGCTTATGTGTGTTACCTTAATTCACCACTAATATTACCTAATATTGTAGCTTTCCAATGTCAAAAATCATTCGTAATAAGCTAAGCAAACCATGCAATCTGCTTTATAAGGTGTCAAAATATAATGTCATATCTGCTTTCAACCTCAGATTCTTTCACCTAGATGTTCTTGTACCACTGCTTTTTTGCTGGACTGGTGCAGCATATACTGCTCATAGTGCTCAAGCCTAAGTGCTAACCAGTTTGTGTGAAATTTTTTTAGATGAACCTGCGCATAGACATAAGGGGGAAAATCTGCCTGCTAAGCGTGTGTCTCTTGCTGAATTTCCCAAGCTTAGAAAAAATATTGATGCTGCAGCTTTTTTTTTTTTTTTTTTAAATGTAAAATTACAAGTTATTGATGAATATATATGTATTTTATGATATTATATATATATATATGTGTGCGTGTGTGTGTAAGCTACAATTTAAATGAAAAAAATGCAAAAAAAAATAATATTTTTTTTTTAAAATTTTGGGTATTATTCACACCGGTTAACCAGTGCGAATAACTTTTTTTAAAAACTTTTTTAGGCATTATTCGCACCGGTTAACCGGTGCGAATAAGTGTTATTACCACCGGTTTTGAACCGGTGTGAAAAGTTTCACTTATTCGCACCCCTCAAATCTAAACTATGCGAAAAGCCGGTTTTGAACTGGTGCGCATTTTCTTTTTTCTACTAGTGAAAGTTGCTGGATTTTTTATTTTTATTTTAGATAATCTCAAACATGCAATGAAAAAAGGCAAATGCCATAAAAAATGATATGAAAAGTAGATCGAACTTCCTAAAAATTAAAAGATTTTAGTTCTGTATTGTTTTGTTGACAAAAACATAAGAATTCATTTTAGCTTCTTAGAAAATTTTGCTTTCCGTATAATGAAGTTGCTTATCCACCCTATTAAAAATCACAAACTATTGGGTGCGGATGTTCGCACCCAATGTTTGGTGCGACCATTCTCCATTTGCCGCCTTTTCACTTTTCTTCTCTCTGAAAATCAGAAAACTGAACCTTTCTCTCTCCTCTTTCTTCCACCAATTTGCAATTTACTTGGAAGCAATTTGCGATTTGTGAAATCCCAAATAATACAAAGAAAAAAACGAAATCCCCAAAATCAAAATAAATCACAAATTAAAACAAATAAATAACCCTAAATCGAAAAAAAAAACAAAAAAACTTACAATTGGAGGTCCTAATGGCGTGGCGTCGGCGTCGATGGTTGGTGGGTTCAATTGGTGATGTGGTGGTTGGTGGTGCGGTGGTTGGTGGGTGAGGTGGACGGTGGTGTTGTTTCATTGAAATGAAAAAGAGAGGAACAAAGGAAATGAAAAAGAGGGGAACAGGGGGAAAGAGGAAAAGAAGAAATGAAAAAGAGGAAGGAAATGAGAGCCAAGCATATGTTATGTTAGTATGTTATGTCGTTAATCATATTAGCCAACAAATAATACATATCAGCCAATTGATATTTGATATAAGTCAATATTATGAACATATCAGACATTAATAAAAACGTATCATCCAACAAAGATATATATCAGCCAATAAGAGTAATATATCAGCCAATAAAATGTACTTATCAGCCAAGAGACGGAGCATATCAGCCAATAAAAGATACATATCAACCAACAAGAGGATGAAATCAACCAACAAAAAGTACAAATAAGTCAACAGAAGGAACATATCAGCCAACAAATGAAGCATATATGCCAGCAAAAGGATGAAATCAGCAAACAAAAGCAACAGGTAAGCCAACAAAATAAACATATTAGACAACAATTAAAATACACATATCAGACAACAAAATAAATATATCAGACAACTAAAGAAACATATAAGCCAAATAATGTCTGATATCAGCCAACAAAAGGGGAAAAAAAAAAAAAAAAAAAAAAAAAAAAAAAACTCAGACAACAAAAGAAATATATATATTAGCCAATACAAAAACCATAACAGCCAACATATAAAACATATCAGTCAACAAGTCATCCGCACCCAATACCTTCTCAGTAAAAATTACTAAACATATTCTAATTCTCATGTTCAACCAAACAACATCATTCTATCTTGGAACATGTATACATGCGAAATAACATCTTTTTAAGATTTTTTATTTTTTATGTTCGACCAAACTACTATTGAAATTAGATCATTAATTGTAGTTGCTAGAAAAATATAATTAAATGAAGTTGGAGTGTTATTAGGAAGAGGGGACAATCAATGATATGATGGTAGTAGGTAAGTGTAACGGAAGGAGCAAAAACGGCCAAGTAGGCGCTTTAGTAGGTACACTATTTGACGCTGAGATTATCACTCGATTGAAAGATAGGCAGGCAGCACTGTACAGTAGAATTTATGTACACTTTGACAAAGATAAAATAATTCTTGTTTAAGGTCAAGAAATTTATACATCGACATTAAGTCCAATATAATTGTAAAATTCTTAGATATAGATTAAATATAGTTTGAAGTGGTGTATTTTTAAAACAGATAATTGCATAAATTATTACGGAGTATTTTTAAAATCATGTACCAGTCAAAGTGTTACATTCACATTCAAGATAACGGAAAGAGGAATTTTTCTCAGTTACAATCTCATTGCTCTATCTATCTCTCTAGTCAATAATCGTGTGCACCCATATACTTATTGTTTTAAAAAAAAACTAGAGTATACTCGTGCTTTGCACGCGATATATTATACGCGAAAGAAACAACACAAAGTGAAATGTTGGTAGTTATTGTTATCCCTTAAAAAAATACAAAAATAAATAAATAAATAAATAGTGGAATAGGTAGTTATTGGTGTTAAAAAAAATAATAAAAATAAAATAAAATAGGAAGGTACTAAATGCAGGTATGATTTTACCTAAATACAGGAAAATTTAGTTTTTAATAAATTTTATATTTTCAATCTTAATCTTGTTTTAATCTACCCTCTTTCCGCCTATACCTATTTATACCCTAATGTTTTCCTTGTAAACATATCTCAAAGTCTTCAACCATTCATCTGTTCGAACTTTGTAAGGTTTGATGGACAATAATGATGAACGTTATTTCGACTATTTTCTAAGGTACTTATTTTAATATGACTATTGGACAAATTAACTTATGTAAAATATTTTTAGATACCTTCATTTTCGAGACCCTGATTTAATTTATATAAAATAAAATTTGATACCTTAATTTTACTACTGGTTATGATTTTCGGGACCTTCAGTTTATTACCGGCTATGATTTCTGGGACCTTTAGTTTACTACCGGATTGAATTTCTGGGGCCCTTCACTACCTATCGGTTATAATTTTCGGGGGCCTTTATTTTTTACCAATTGAATTTCAGCTTCATTGTATTGCATGACAATAAAATCAAATTCATGTTCAAAACTTCAATAATGAGGATTGGAATTACATTGGGTTATAATAAGAGTAGTATAGTGTATAAAATATTAAAGTCTCATTTTTAAAATCCTGCATTTAGATTATTTTGTACAACATTTAGTAAATTTTAAAAAATAATAATAATTAATATAATTTGAGTATTGGGGATTTGGGGGATTGTAGTGAATTACAATTATATAAGATGTAAAATTAGATTTGTAACAAATTTTATTTATTTTTTTATTTTTTTAAAGTCAGAGAGTTACAAGTAAATAAACAAGCGAGTAGTTGGCGTAGAAGCACGAGGCCTTGGTGGTACCGTCAACTTGGGATAGGTAGTTACGTTTCTCCCCTAATATATTGTAACACAACTATAATACTTATATACTGGTATATAAACTCACACACCAAAAAACAAAGAGCTCATAATTCAACTTCAATAATTCTAGTACAAAAATTATGTTCAATACAATCATAGTGTATTAATAATTTAATCACTACAAAAATGGCAGAAAGGCCTAAAACTTTGACAGCATTAGAAGGCGAGAAAACTCTAAACCCAAGCTTCGTAAGAGACGAAGATGAGCGTCCTAAGGTGGCGTATAACGTTTTTAGCCACGATATTCCCGTCATATCTCTCGCCGGCATCGATTCTGATGGCGAAGATCAAGTCAAGAGAGCCTCTATTTGTCGCAAGATTGTGGAAGCGTTCGAAGAATGGGGTATTTTTCAAATTGTGGATCATGGTATTGAAGGTGATCTTATTGCGGATATGACTCGTTTGGCTAGGGAATTCTTTGCTCTTCCTCCTGAAGAGAAGCTTCGCTTTGATATGTCTGGTGGTAAAAAGGGTGGTTTTATTGTTTCTAGTCATCTTCAGGTAATTCAGTTCTCTCCATTTTCAAAAAAGTTACGTGTTAAACACTTTTTAGTTTTTACACTATTCACTGGACTTATTTGTATTAATGTTAGTGATTTATACATGAAATGTAGAAGTAATATAGTTTTATAGGTAATTGTTAAAATCGTCTCAATAAATAAATTATTAATTTTCAATTGTTATAATTTAAAATTATGCTAATTAAAAATATCATAGGTGAAATATTTACAATTGTAGAAATGGAGCACTTGTAAAAAATGGAGGGCGCAAAAGTGTGATTTTTTACATTATGTTTATTTGATAGTCAACTAAGTTATGCGCATGTATACTGTTTTATTATCAAGTCATCTAACAACTTCTATTTTTCAATTGATTATATATTTTGTTAGAGTAACAAGACCAATTGACTAAAGACTTTAAATAATCAAATTACACATCTATTGATAACTATAGGTTAACAAGCTTAAATCCAAAGAATGATTTATAATAATTCTCCAATTAGTAAGCATTTGATTAGTTGTGCTTAAAACCAATACTTTCCTGTCACATTACTAAAAAAAGTATGCATTTGTGACGAAATTATGATTGGGTGCCAACTTGAGGTTGTGTACTAAGGGCCTTAGGTGTGATTCTCATAAATCAAGCTAAGAAATCAAATCTTGCCTATATTATTACTTTTTGCGACTAATACGCTAATTATTGTTTGACGCAACAGTTCTTAAGCTCGATGAATCTTAGATTGAAATGGTCAATAAATTTTGTTATTTTCTCACAATTTTGAAGTTTCAACAAGTGCTAGCTAATACCAGGACTTGGACAAATGAATTAAAATTTGTTTGTCAATGTTGGATGTCCTTTTCAAAGAAGTATGATGATCTCTAAGATTTCCACAAGGACCAAAAAACCCCTCTCTATTGAGCCATGTTTTTCTAGGATCTTTATTAATTACTAATTACTAGTAGTGAGCTCTATGAAATTTCATTATCAAAGTTGGGGATCCGTTTAGATTTGAGGTATGTGATTGAAACTTGGTAGTTTTGAGAGGTTTAGGCTTTGGGTGTCAGTTGGTTGGGTTTGGCTTAGATTTTGTGTCAAATTAGATTGAATTTGGGTTTGTTTTGGTTCAATTTTGGTTGGGTTTTACCGGCTTAGCTCTGCAGAACCAATAGGTTTCCGGGTTTCTCTCAGTAACTTCATGTCAGGTTATTGTCAAGTCCGAGATTACTAGCACTAATTTAGGCTGTGGTGTTGGTTAAATAAAAAGGTGGAGAAGTCGAGAAGGTGAGGGTTGGCAATGGAAGGAAAATTAATGGTTGTGGGCGCATTAAGGGGAAGTTGATGTGGACTAGTGGTGCTAATGATAAGAGGTGTGGTGTAGTAGTTTTGTTGTGAGTCCTGTGACCAATGGTAGGCATTGTGCCATTGTGTCGAATTTGGTAAGTTTAGTTTGGAATATATATACTTAACTTACTTGTATAGAGGTCAACACTCAAAAATGATGATAATCAAACTAGTACATAAAAAAATTGATTAATTAATTTGTATATCCATTTTCAATTATCAATGTAGCAAAGCTAGACACTCATACTCAAAACTCGTTCATGATTGTTCAAACTGCAGGGAGAGGCAGTACAAGACTGGAGGGAAATGGTAGCTTACTTCTCATACCCTATCAAGAGTAGAGACTACTCGAGATGGCCTGACAAGCCCGAAGGGTGGAGGAATGTGACAGAACAGTACAGTGAGAAGTTGATGGGTTTAGCCTGCAAGCTCCTTGGGGTGTTATCTGAGGCCATGGGTCTTGAGGCTGAGGCCCTCACTAAGGCCTGTGTCGATATGGACCAGAAAATTGTGGTGAATTACTACCCCAAGTGCCCACAGCCTGACCTTACTCTTGGGCTCAAACGCCACACTGACCCTGGTACCATCACCCTCCTCCTTCAAGATGATGTAGGCGGTCTGCAGGCTACTCGTGATGGTGGTAAGACTTGGATCACTGTTGAGCCGATTCCTGGTGCCTTTGTGGTCAACCTTGGTGACCATGGTCATGTAAGTAATATCAACTCTGCCTATTTTTATGTTAGTGTTTTCCATTCACCTTTCCATTTGTTGCTTTGATGCTTTCTATAATTACCGGTAGTAGGGGGATCATTTTTTCGACTGTTAGATGTGTAGGATTCATGAGGTAAGACAGATACTTCTTATAAATTAACAAGTTGCAATGTTAGAGCCCGGTTAGGTTGGTATGTATTTTCTAGGTTATCAGTAGTCATCATCAATTCCCCGTGTTTCCACCATTTTCCTTCTCGTCTCATGGTAGCTACAACCAATAAACTATTACTCTCTTCATCCTAAATTAATAGTTGCGTATACTAATTAAGGATGTGCGGAAAAAGTTATCACTTCCTCTGGATTTTATAGTGATTTATGATTGAATTACCTATATGCTACCCCTTAAATCAAGTGATAGATTTAAAATGTTGAATCAATCAATCAAAGCCTTAATCCCATAAGTGGGGTCGGCTATATGAACCAAATTTGATTATTCCGTGTGTGTCATCCACAAAAATCTTCCTCCTCCATCCCTTACGATCCAATGCTTCATCACACTGCCAATTCCAAGCCTGGATAAAAGAGGAGGGTTTCGGTAGGCCAGTGACAGCGTGTAAAACTTTGTCACATCTCATAACATGAGCCAAACTGATATTTAAAATGTTGAATCATGGTTATATATTGATAACAGTGAAAATGTTGAATCATGGTTTCATATATTATGCGTAGTTTGATCTTGATTCTTGAGCAGGTAAGTTCTTACAATATTGCTGCAAGCTAAGTACAGGAAACATGAGTATTCTTAGTCTTACTACGATTTCACCTTATATTGTGTTTTTCCTTGTTTTGGATTATGAAGTATTTGAGCAATGGGAGATTCAAGAATGCAGACCACCAGGCTGTGGTGAACTCAGACCGTAGCAGGTTGTCAATAGCAACTTTCCAGAATCCAGCCCCAGAGGCGATAGTATACCCATTGGCTATAAGAGAAGGAGAAAAGCCGATTCTAGAAGAGCCCATCACTTTTGCAGAGATGTACAGGAAGAAGATGGGCAAGGACCTTGAACTTGCACGCCTTAAGAAGCTCGCTAAGGAGCAGCAGTCAAAGGTAGAAGAGCTAGAGAAAACCAAGTTTGAGTCCAAACCAATTGAAGAGATCCTTGCTTAATAAACTCAACCTGAGGCTAAGGTTGTGGTAGTGAAAATGACAGTATATCTGCAAATTTGTGTTTTCTTGATTTAGTATAAATGTCATGTGTATCCTAGTTTTGGTTAATATTCATTAGTCTGCTGATTAATGGTGAGAATAAAATTGTAATGTACTCAACAAGTTTAAATCATATTTATGTATTATCGAGTTCACAAGATCACTTTACTTACGAAAATATCATTAAGCCTGCAAACCCAGACATGTACAAGTGCACAACATTCCGTACCAGAGTTGCCACTATAAATTGTACACTACATAGAAGCAGAAGTTAAGCTAAGAAGAGAAATGCAAGGGAGATCCTTTGATCATTTGACTCAGAGCTCGCCTTCATTCTCGAAAAAAGAATTGAATACATGACGAGGAAAGTAGTAGTTTAAGGAGTGAACGTTGCTGTATAATAGTGAAAGTAATGGAATCTTGGTTATCTTATGCAAATTAAATCTTGAGCAGGCGAGTTCTTAAAAATTTGATACAAGCTAAGTACAAGAAATTTAGTATGAGTTCATTTTTAAGTTGTGTTTTTTCCCTCTTCCTGAATTTAGAAAAGTGTTTGAGCATTGAAAGATTCAAGAGTGCAGGCCATCAAGTTATAGTGAACTCAGACAGCATCAGCCAGTCAATAGAAACATTCCAGAATCCTGCTCCAGAGACGATTATATACATTGGCTATAACGCTAAGAATGTTATCGTTTACCAAAATACATTTAATAAGAGAGTGAGGGATAGCTCAAGTAGTTAGAGTTCCCCTCCCAGTTTTAGGCGATCTTGGGATCGATTCACATCACCTGCTCTTGTGGTTCTCTAAACAAAAAAAAAAATACATTTAATAACAAATATTATAAAATAAAAAATAAAAAAAAAAAAATAAAAAAAAAAAGTGAGATTCATTATAATTTCAGTATATAAGAACAAAAATATTAATTTTTTCATATAATAATCTGGTGCAGTGTACTGGGCCCAAAATCTAGCTTTTAATCAGATCTTGGATTTTTATTCATCTTTGAATGGTAGCCCATTTAACATGTTATCAGCCCAATGATTTCATTCACTATCCAGCTCACAATTTTCTTACAAAAAATTGTTATGCCAAACATATATCAATACAACAATTTTGTTAAAATTTATTCATTTAGGTGATTGTTCAATTCTTAAAAAAAAAAAAAAAAAAAATTTAACAACGAACCAACCTTTGCTCCATTCTCCCAAAATGAACAAACCTTTAAATCTTCCCAAAATAAACACAAATTTGTATTATTTTTTTTCTCCCATATTAAACCAAAATGACTTGTGACTAGGGGTGAGCAAAGATCCAGGGTACCCGGTACCGGACCCGGAACCGGTTAGGACCCGTCGGGTTCGGACTTAGAACTGGTCTCTCCGGTTCCAGGACCGGGTCCAAAATTTCCGACCCAGTTGTAACCGGTTCCGGTTCCAAATCCTAAAATTTTGGACCCGGTACCCACTGGGTACCCGGTTGTATATGATATAGTATGTGGATTGTTTGTGTTTTTAAGAAACTAAAGAGTTATGTACAGCCCATTTTTATTTTTAAGCCCAAATGCTTATAAAACTCTCAACCCACTATCAAACAAAACCCTAAAACTTCTAGATTTTTCTCTCTGCTTTACTAGCTATACCGGTTACCCAACATATATTGTACAAAATATATTTAAAAAACGAAAATATGTTGAACTTAACTAATTAGTAAAATAAAAAAAATTATTAATATTTAATATAATTAAAATAGCTTGATGTATATAAAAATATAAGTATTAAACGCTAAAAGTAAAAATACACCAAAAAAAATATTATGATTTGTATTATATTTCAACACTTATATATATAAGTGGGTACCCGGAAGAACGGAATCGGAACCGGTACCCGGTGGAACCAATTCCAATTCCTAAATTTTAGGACCCGGTTGTACCGGTTCCAATTCCGGTTCCAAATTTTAGGACCCGGTCCCAACCAATTCCGGGTCCGGATCCTAAAATTTTGATCGGGTACCCGATTTGCTCACCCCTACTTGTGACCTGAACAACAATCACTATTTTATTTTCCTTTAATTACCTTTTTTTAAAATCTATGAACTATTACTAAAATAAAACATTGCTGACATCATCTCTCCTCAAAACTGTATACGTGTCGCTTTCTTATGAAATTTTTTCCCGCCTAAAACCATTGATGATGTCATTTTTTTGTGATAGTTTTTTTTTTTTTTTTTCCTGAAAGGATTTTTTTTTCTTTTGTGTGATACTTCTTCGTAAACAAGCTAATTAAGCTTTCAACAACTTTAATCTAGAAAATTGAATAGCAATTGTATTCCTTTCTTTTGATTTAAAGATCTATAATTCCTTCTCCTCAATTCCTTGACACTAATATTCAAACATCCAGAAATTTCCTAAAATATTCAAACTGTATTTCTTTTAAGAAATCTCCTTCCAATGAATTTATGACAAAATTGAAAAGATTCATTGTATATACGAGTTCTATACTATAATTTTTTTTATTAAAACTGTGCATCGCACGAGGATAATCTAGTTAACCAATAAAATAAAATAAAATTAAAAAAGAAAAAAACTCAGACCCCCACCCACGAGGATAATCTTGATTCGTGGCTTAATTCGTTTAAGCTTTTGTGGCATTTTTGGTTGTAGGAAAAGGGGGGAGGGGCGGTGTCGGGGGCAGCGGGAATGGGGATAGAGGATTGCTGGGCTGCCGTGAGTGGGAGAGAGGGAGGGGTGGTGGTTTCCGGCGCCGAAAAATCGGTTGGGCGTCGGCAGGGGAAGAGGCTGGCAGTGGTGGGGAAAGGGTGTTTTTTTTTATTATCAAAATTTTTAAAATCAAATAAATAATTATTTAAATTATCATTTTTTCTTAAAAAAAAAAATAACCAATGAGGAGACTACTCGTGGATTGCAATTTGGTATAACAGGTCAACTTACCTGCTTGGTTTAATATCGAGAAAAAAAATACAAACTTGTGTTTATTTTGGGAAGATTTAAAGGTTGGTCCATTTTGGGAGAATGGAGCAAAGGTTGGTTTGTTGTTGTTAAATTTTCAAAAAAAAAAAAAAAAAAAAAAAAAAAAAAGGTGATTGTTCAATTTTTTCTTTACTATAGAGAAATTGTACTTAGGAAATAAATTAATATGACATGTAAATATCTTACATTTTTACTTTTGAAATATGTTTTTATAAAATTGAGTTTCCTCTCGAGTGTAACTTCAGTACTTTAAACTCAATCTTTCCACTTATCGAAGAGAATGTGAGAGGGTTTAATTGCACGTGGGATTAGATTGAGAGCGAAAACAACAATGAAGGAGAAGAGTTAGTTCAACTTGATAGCTTAAAAAAAAAAAAAAAAAATCTAATTTATTACCTAACCTTTAAAAAAACACGTCGTAAGTTATATACAGTACAAACGAGTGAATGGTAGAAGTCTTACGGAGACGATAATCAAACATCGTCATTTATTACCACAAACGAAACAAACCATCATAAATTCATTACAAGTTGTACACCAACATATACTTTTTCAATCTCATATGTTTGAGCTAAAAGTATTTCTATTGCACAAGTTGCATAAAAATGCGTCATCTGATCTTGTAGTTAGTTACGAGTAGATGATGAACGAGTGAATTACTTCCTAGAATTCTACTCGTTAACAGCAAAAAGACAAGATGTTAATGCTGGAAACACCATACACAAAGAATAATAAATTTGTGGGAGAGGGATATTTCTATATTCCTGACATCATAAAATACACGTAAATAATCCTAATAAATATAAATTCTGGACCACGTATATAATATAAATATAAATGTAGCTTAGCCTCTAAAATAATAAGACAACCTCATAAAATAACAAGAATATATAAACATATAATGTGGCAAAAAGCTAAGTATGGAATATATGATTTGTAAGTACTAGTAGTTCCCGCGCAATCTTGAAGTATAAGAGATAAGAGTAGTTTTACGTTAGTGCTGTTTGGCTGCAACATAAACTATTCCACGCTACCCATAATGCTTATGCACCCCCAATAAGCAATACTTGGCAAGTTGGCATGGATTTAATTTAAGCATGCGATCGAATCGCTATAATCAAAAGTAAAGAAAGAGACAGTGGAGGATGGGGAGGGGGGATTATGTTGCTTATTATCTTTTACCAGTAGGTCGATTACTACTTTAGCCGTAGGCCCGTATACAATCATAATTATCAGTAAGCGTACGCTCTAAAATAATTGTCCTGTTACATCATATTAACGTATGTAAAATAAACGTCATATATATTATTACTCTTCTATAATTAATTTATAACTTGCAATAATTTACAAAAAATTTGTCATGTGTTGATGAAATTGAGATCAATCGAGCTTGACCTAGTATATATATTATTAAAGTCAGATCAAATTTTTATGAGATTGAGACTAAACTTCCTAATTAGACTTGATTAATTAGAAAGTTTTCATCACAAAAATTCATATCAAATACATGATTATTTCTTTCAGAATAGCATGGACAATATGTCCTTCAATTAGAGGTGCTACAATTACAAATTAAAGTATGTATAAAATTATAAATACATAATTAAAGAAGTCGGTCATCTTAAATTAGTGGGAAACTACGTTAACAATAAAAATTAATTTAAGTCTAGTTGATACAAATTATCAATAGAGAATATACATTTAGGATATATTTGCATTGTAAGATAACATCTTTGATTGTTGCTCTTTATCAAAGTGAACCCATGCATGATAATAAATATTATTGAACTAATATGTTAGGAATCTTACAATAATACTTTGTAGTATCATTTTAAAGGTAGAATGAATATATACTCCATGTGTTTTATTCAAAGAATTAGCTTTTGCTTTCCTAATAATAATGCAACAACCAACTAAACTTTTTTCTTGCTTAAAATAACAAAAAACAAAAGCAAAAACTAACTTTCACCTATAATTTTTTAAGTCACTACTAAACGTTTTCCTCATTTGCAGTTCAACTATCATATTTTCCCCTATAATGCATCCTCGATCATTGAGGCTCCCTACGTGCTCTTCGATCACTTTTTGATTTGGGATTGGGTCGGATATTACTACACTACTACAAAAATGACTAAACGGGTATCAAGCACACTTAAAAACATGCAATATATTAATA